GAAAGCCGTAACTTCTATACTACTAAAGCTACAGACTTGTGCTGCATCTCGTTTGAAAGGTATTTTTAAATGCTATAAACGCCTTCTATATGCAATTTGTGTAAATGTAATAGTTAAAAATATATAAACAAAAGACAATTTTTTAAAACTTTTTTTTTAGCTTTTTTTATTTTTCTCAAAAACGGCTCTAACGATTTTCTTTAAAACCTTAAACTGTATAGCCCTTGAGATTCCTTAAATTTTGGTATATAACACATTACTGTAAAAAGTCACGTTTAAAAGTTATTTTTATACGAAAATAGCCACTGTTGCCAGCTCGAACGATTAACGCTCCCTGAGTATTGAATTTTGTGGGAGGGTATCCGAACTGTATTTTAGGGTCCTGGAATCAGTAAATTTGCACTTAAGACTACGACTGAGAAAATATTAGAAAGTCTATTTAATGACGAGTGTAATAATTTTTCGTCACAAATGTTGATATCAGAACTTTTGTATGTTGAAGGTGCGCTCGTCACTAGTTTTTTACCTCGTTAAGAGGTGTTTTTATTTGATTTCAGTTTAAAGAAAAAACAAAATAATTTAAAATATATGTACTTAAAGGTCATGTACGCTTTTAATTAGTTAAATGCTCCTGTCATACAAAAAATCACATTAGTATGTTAACACACCACCATGGTTCCAGTTCCCTAAACCTATCTCAAAGTGTTCACGATTAATAAGTCATGTGATACATTACGTTGTCCCTCTTTTTTTCCACTCCCAGCCATTTACTTTATCTGAGGGGCAAAAGTAAATTGTCATATATCATAAATGAGCAGAGCCATGTTGACTTATTAAGTGCCAGCCACGGCAGCTTTCTCATCATCCACGGGAGCGTATCCCCGCGTCCTGTGTGCTTTCCCCATATCCTGATCCTGCCCTGCATGTCCTTTGTCAAGCTGTCACTGAATGCCTGCGTTTTTGTTGGTTGTGCGACCCTGCGGGTTGTCGTTCTCACATATGTATGCAAATGAAAAAAGAAAGCAGCCAAAGTGGCTTCTGACTCTTTCCCTGGCTGGGTGGCTTGTGTGTCGCACAATTGCGTGGGTAAGGAACTCGTGGCCATCCATCATGTGTCCCCTGGCAAACGATGCATTCAATTTGTCATTTCTGCCGCGGCCACAAAAGGTAATGCACCTTCAGGGGCAGTGGCTCTTAAAAAGAACTTAGAAAATACAGCACGCTACTGATAAATAAAGCTAAATAACAGTTGATGGCAAATTCTGTTCGTGTTGGAGCCCTAGATCACGAAAATACCACTAATTTTTTTTCGATGGCAAAGTTTTTTTTAAAAGATTTTTATAACCGTTACTCGTAGAGTAGGAGTAAATTTAATTTGGTTGCGTTTAATAATACCTTCCAAAATGTAGAACAACTTTTCAAAATCGAAAAATTTACTACAAAGTTATGATCAACAAGGGAGAACGCTATAGTCGGGTAGGTGTCCCGACTATCAGATACCCGTCACTCAGCTAGCAGTGCAAGGGAGATATAAAACTTTAATTGCGCCTAACTTTTTAATGAATGGTCTGATTTGAAAAATGTTTTCTACATTTCGATAGGTATTTCTAAACACTTTAAAATTGCATTTATATATTTTGACAATCCTAAAAGATGTGGCCGCCAGTTACATTTTAAATTCCTTTATGGTGAGCGTTAGGGGGGGCGTGGCACCTCGATGAAACAAACTTGCGCAGTGTAGGAAGCCAAATAATATGTGTGGGAAATCCCAACCTTCTAGCTTTTGTAGTTTCCGAGATCTCAGCGTGCATGCAGACAGACAGGCAGACATGGCTAGTTCGACTCGGCTAGTGATCCTGAATAGCTGTTACATACTTTTGCACGAATTGAATATACCCTTTTACTCTTCGAGTAACGGGTATAAAAATAGAAACAGCCGCTATATTGTATTGACGACTGCATATCTTCATCTCCCTCGCACTTCATTTAGATGAATAACGGGTCGAAGTACTCGACAATAGCGTTATCTCTTGTTTTATTTAAATAAAGTCCTTGTACACCTCACAATCTAGTTGGTAGGCGATGACTAACTTAGTCCTGACTGATCGAACTAATTTAATGGTGACGCAGGAACTTGTTTACGCCGATTTCCCTTTTTTGCCTCCAAGAACGTGGGATGCTGCCCGATGACGTCGATTCCGCCAACACAGGTTGAAATTTATTTCGCTCTTTACCCAGTTTTTCCTATCTTCTTTTTCCTCCGGAAATGTTGACACATTTTCTCCCCATGCGCTCTGTTGTATGCAAAACTTTTTATGGCTGCGACATTGATTGGCGTGCAAATCAAAAGTTGAGGATTGCAACTGAAGTGGCAAAACGCGCTGGGATATGCAAATGAAAATGTGTAATTGTGCATATATGGATTTGATTGAGGGTGCATTCATCATAAGCTACAATTTCCGAGTTGTGGAAAAATTGAAATTAAATTTCGCCGGAAGTAGATGAAACTGCGACGCAATCGGTGGAGTTTGTGGAAAAGTGAGGGAAACCCGCAGGGGAAAGCTTTGCCCTGCGAACGAGCAACTAATTGACAAACGCCCGTGGGTGTGTGTGAATAAGGACGAAGGCCCTTGGGCCCGGAAAATCAGGTTACACGAGTGGAAAACCCAACGCTTTTCAAATGCGCGATGCCGTCGTCGGAATTGCCTTCTAATTAGTGTTTATTGTTTCTCGTTGCGCTAAAGGTGTGGGCTAATTGTGATTATCGCTGAGCTTGTGTGGGTGTTACGGGAAGCTGTCAAGCGAACATACATTTAAAGCTATGGGAAATGACGTCAGAGAGCAGGGATTGGGAAGTGCAATCAAAAAGTAATCCTGTAATTTAACTACCCAACAATTTAACAAGCAAGTCTTCAAGTCCAAGTTGGACCACTATTTTAAAAATTCTTACAAAATGTTTAGAAATAAAAAAAATTTGTTTTTATAAAAGAAATAAATAGTGATTTCAACGGCTTAAAATATTTGTAAAATTTATATTTGGGTTATATCATTTTATGAAGCATTTTGAAAACGTTTTAGAATAATTTTAAGATAATGGATGGATAAATCCCATTCCCCACTCGGTTGAAAAATGAAAGAAATTTGGGTATTTAAAAAGTATGCAACAAGAAATTTCTTCTGAAATCTCCCCACAACCAAATCTTGGATTTGCCACTAATTAGGTACTAAATAAAGTGCTTAAAATAAGTGAACTAACCTTATTAGTTTTTTCCGGGCTTTTTTTATCTCTTCCGTTTTACCACTCGAAATTCCGTTCTAGTTTATCTAATTTTTTTATTGAGCTCCGGACACAATCAAAACGAAAGTCCTTGAAGGGAGAGCAGCAATTGAAGCGTAATTATTTGCTACGGCGCATTTCCTTGGCCGTGTGGCGTCGCCGGTCAAATGGCCAGAACCAGAACCGAAACCGAATCCAAGCCGGACGGAGAAAGTCCGGACGGAATGGACTGGGGATGGCACCGACGTATCTTGGCACTGGGTCAGTGGCGCAGCATGGGATTTGCCGTTGTTATTGCTGTTGCCGCTGTGATTGGTGTCCTGTCTGTAAGTCTGAGCCAAGTAATCAGAATAATTACATGGCCCTAATGGCAACGAGGCAGAGGAGCTGGCAAAAAATGCAGAGCTCTTTCTCATTTCGCAGTTGGCAAGGAATTGACTGGGGAATATTGGGCTGCCTACGAAATAATTTGCATGCAGTTGCAAAAATTGTATCCTTTGTAATAATATTTTATTTATTTAATTTTACCTCAAACTATTCTTAGTATTTTTAGCAAATCTTTACGTTACGGCATAAGAAGGCTCAAGGACAAATGCTGTTATTTTCTTTGATTTTATTTGTGTTTATTCGTAAGCAGATCCCACAGATCCATGACAAATATTCAGTGTTTTTCCTTTACACCCCCTTTCCAACAAAACAATATCCTTACTTTTTGATTAGTTTTTGTTGCTCACTCGTCCAACCGAAATAAAATTAAACAACAACAAAATCAAAACAACCGCAGGCGGTAGGCCATGAAGTGATGTAAACGTGACACGAATATTCACGCACGACTCATGATTCACTTGTTGCTAGCTCAAGCGGAAAATCATAGATTTTGAAACACTGAGCTACAATTAAAATTGGAACAGTTTAGAAAAAAAAACATAATTTATGTTTTATAGTTAACCGTTATCTTAAATTATTACGAAGACTTTTAATGAATCTTTTAAACTTATTTTTAACTATAATCTTCACTTGCTCATCTCTAGTCAGGACACCATATGCCGGCAACTTAAGACAATACCAACAACAATTGCCAACAAATCTCCCACGCATTTAGACACAAATTGTTATCAATGAATTAAAGCAAACACAAACACCGTACCGGCAAAATTTACGAGAGTTGCGATGACGTAGGTAAATTCAAAATAAGGATTCTGTCCGGATTCTGTCATCCGCGTCCGAGTCCTTACAGGATATCTGAGATTGTGCGGCTTGCTTATATAGGTTTCGCTCTCCTAAAAAGCCGTCGAAAAACTCGCTCCCTCTTAAGTTTTCTCTCTCTCTTTTTGTCAGGGGAGTATTCAGAAGAGGGTTTTATGGAATTGATGTTTATAGTTGCCTATGCTGTAAATATTTTTTTGCAAAAACGACGGATTCACAAAATCTATGTTTTAAAGATTTATTTTAATCTCTAAAATCTTACGCTGATATTAATATATCAAGGAAGTTTTTGCCTAAAATGTAAACAATAAAAATAAATATTTATTTATTTTAATTTAAATGTTCAAATTTTTTAATTTAAATATTTTTTAAATATTTATAGTACAGTTTTCCACCACCTATTCAAGCTATCAACCTTCAGCCGGTTAGACAACTATCGATGGTTCTCTTAGCGAGTACTCCTACCAATAAGCGTTGCAACAGAAACAATCGATAGTATCCGTTTACGTTTCACCTCTAGGCAAAGTGGGCACGATTTTTCTGTTTTTTAACCGAATTTGTTAATTTAATGTAACAAACAAGCGCCAAACAGATAGAAAACGGTCGGGAAAATGTGCGGCATCAAGTTATCCACTTAAGAATGTAAAAGATCTGATGGAAAATCGAGCGGGAAAAGCAGAGTGAGCGAAAATTCAGTGAGTGCGCGTGTGGGGAGAAGAAGAAAAGTGGAAATACAACGCTGAAAATTAGCAGCGGCAAAAAACGTTGTAAACAATTGTAATGTGCTGAGGACATAGCCGCCCAGAAAGGATCGATCAAAATGACGGAAACCTTCGACGAGGAGCTGTTCGAGACGCGACTGGAGGCGCTAAAGGACACGCAGGAGGGTATCCAGCAGATGTCCAACTGGTGCCTGCAGCACCGCTCGAACCACAAGAAGATCATCCAGTGCTGGCTGAACGTCTTCAAAAGGGGTGAGTTTGAAGTGCTTCCCCCGGTGCCCAAGCTAATGACGATCCTAATATTCCCAGTTCGCGTGGACCATCGCCTGGTGCTCTTCTACCTGGCCAACGATGTCATCCAGTACAGCAAGCGCAAGCGCTACGAGTTCGTAGAGTGCTGGGCCACAGCCCTTCAAAGAGCCACCACCATGGTGCGGTATGTATTTCCGGGCGGAAAGGATGCAGTATCTGTCTTTTAGATACTAGAATTCACTCAACCAAGTTTAAAATTTAAAGATCTTGGTAGTTCTTGACATGGTATCATTTGAATGTATGATAATCATATATCAATACTTGGGAGACCGAAACTTAAAATACCCTTTATTTAATAATTTTTATTATCTTAAGATCCCTAAACTTAAAATGCCTTTTATTTTATTATATTTATTATCTTAAGATCCCTAAACTTAAAATGCCTTTTATTTTATTATATTTATTATCTTAAAATTCCTAAAAAATGATAATCATTTATCAATACTTGGAGACCGAAACTTAAAATTTTCTTTATTTAATTATTTTTAGTATCTTAAGATCCCTTAACTTAAAATTCCTTTTATTTAATTCTTTTTATTATCTTAAGATTCCTATGATAATCATATACCTATCAATACTTTGGAGAACAAAACTTAAAATTCCCTTTATTTAATTATTTTTATTATCTTAAGATCCCTAATAAATGATAATCATATATCAATACTTTAAAATTAAATAAAATTCCCCTAACTTAATTATTTTAAAAGAAAATGAAAGTATTGAAATTATTTTATATGTGTACCGCTTATCATATCAAATTACACCCTGATATCATAATAAAAATGCATATATTAATTAAGGAATTTAAAAAAAACCCTTCAACGAACAAACAAACATCAATGTAAAACCACTACTTAAATATAAACTTACCTCTAAATATTATTTTATTTTCCCCTTCAGCGACGAGCGCGTCAAAGACAAAATCCTGCGAATCTTCAAGATCTGGGAGCAGCGTGAGATTTACAACGAGGAGTACCTTAGCGACTTGAGCGGCCTGCTCAACATAGCGCCGCCCAAAAAGTCCCAGGTCGATGTGAGTGACGAGTTCCAGAACGCCACTCTGATAGCCCAGGTGAGGGAGTGCGTCGAACTGGCCGAGACCACCGACAAGAGCATGCAGAAGCTGCCCAAGCCGCCAACCTTCGAGATCGAGGTGATCAAGCAGCAGCTGAAGGACAAAAGCCACTCCGGGGACATCGAGAAGGAGGTGGAGCGGTGTGTGGCCTTCATCAATGCCTACAACAAGAACCTCCAGAACGAGATTAAGAGTCGGAAGGCGGTTTTGGCCAGTATTGAGGCGGCAAAAAAGTTCTACGAACACCAGGGCAAAGAAGTCAAGGTGGTGGCCAGTGTAAGTGTATTAATTTTGGTAATAATTTTAAAAAGGTCTAAAATTAATTGTTTTACAGGCCTATAAAAGTTTTGGCACGCGCATTAAAATAGTGAAAAGAAAGCTGGACGAGACCATACCCAACCTGGCTAGCCCCATACCCTCGCCGGACGTAAATGCGCCCTCGCCCGAGCGCGATGCAGATCTCCAGTTGCCCGATGAAAATAATTTGCCCATAGTAGCTATAAACATAAGTTTTATATTTGCCTCAATTTGATCAACTTACTTCCTTAGCAGAACCTTTTCGGTGGCGGTCTTAATGGCTTCACAAGTTATCTGGATGGTGGCAAGCTGCCCTTTGACATCAACGACTTCAAGCGGGACTCGAAGGATCGGGGAAGTGCCATCGAAGTGATCGGTTCGCGATCGGATGACGAAGCCTATGTGCCGAGTGCCAATTTCTACAAGCCCGAGGCCATTTCCAGTTCCGACAGCAGCTCCATACCGGGCCTCGGTGGCTCCGCTGAATATACTCCCAATCCGCCCTTGTTTGGCTCGAGCAGCCAAGAGCAATATGTCCCGCCGCCGCCCTCACATCTTTACGGTGGCAACGGAAACGGCGGCGGCAGTGGCGGGCAGGACAACCAGTATACGCCTGCGCCGATGCCGCCGCCACCGCTGCCACCCTCTCTTGGACCCTCCGGTGGATCAGCGGATGATTTCAACAGCACCTGGAATATGAGCATGTCCTGGACGCCGCTGGACTCTAGCTTAAATAGCAGCGGAGCAAGCTCCTCCTCGTATGCGAACCAATCCACTCCCCACTCGCCGCCGCACTTTGACAGGAAAGGCAACTCCGCGGCCGCCCCCATCGAATATAACGAGCATTTGCATACCAATTCCGCAGCGCTGGGCGCCGAGGATGTGGACCATCGCACCCTGCAGCTGCCGCCGGCCTTCGATTTCGGTGCAAAGCTTGGTTTGAGCAAGGACAAGTCCAGGCAGCTAGTGGACATTGATCACAGGAATTTAATATCGCTTACTGGTTCTCCGGGCGGAGCAGAAAAGGTAAAACAAATATTTATTTATATTTTATTTATTGCTTATAATATAATCTTTTTGCAGGACTTTGCTGGCGGCGATGTTGACTACCGCATTGTCCCAAATCCCAGTGATGAAGGCATCATGGCTCCCCCTGGGAATAACTATGCCAAAAACAAGACCAGCTCACCGCTTAAATCCAATGCCAGTAAGTGGGAGTAGTAGTATATCAATTCACAAAACCAAATCACAAATATATTTCCTCAAACAGGCTCCTCATCTGAATCGGATCGTGTGGATGGCGCTGCACGCTATGATCCTGCTGACATGGTAATCGATATGGACATGTCGGATGATGACATCGATGACACTTTAAGAGGTAATGGTCAAACTATATAGATAATTCGTAGTAATAATTGCCTAAAATTTACTTTGTAGAACCCAAGGAAGATAATGGGGAAGCTGATCCCGAGGCCAATGGCGCCCTGACGCCTTCGCGACCGGTTTTGCTGGAAACTCCGGCTGAGTTTATTAATCCTTGGGAGACGAACAATAGTTTTATGGGACCACCATTGCCCGATGACGAGGATCAGCAGCAGCAGCAGCAACATGAACAGCAGCAACAAGAGCTGCAGCAACATCATCAGCAGCACCAGCATCAACAGCAGCAGCCGCCTTGGAACCAAATGAATCCCATGCAAATGGGAGGAGGGGGGGCACCGCCACCCCCGCGACCTCCATATGGACCACCCTTCCCGCCCTTTCAGCGTTTCCCTGGTCCACCGATGAACGGTCCCGATGGCATGCAGCGCGGGCGTGGCAGAGGACGGGGCTGGAACGGTCCCGGACCGGGACCTTTTAGACCGCCTTATCAACGGATGCCTGGTCCAGGATTCGATGGACCTGGCCCAGGACCGCGGCCATTCTTTCCAAGGGGAGGAGGACCCGGCGGTCCGATGCGTGGACGCGGGCGCATGCGTGGTAAAGCTTGGATGATGTAATTACGTATTTTATAATTCTACAAAAAAGAGAGAATCCCTAATTTTAGACTTCACCTATCTCACTTTGATTTAATTTAACAAAAAAGTGTATTGTATAGAACAGATAACACATTAACCCCAAACAGTTGTCTTGGTTTCCCTTTGGGCGGTGGGCAGATTACGTTGACAGAAAGTATTGTACATTGCTTTGTATAATTTTACTTGCCCATGATCGTTACTCTAAGCCGCGGGTTTTCAAAATATTTCATTGTAAAATTAATTAAAAAGTATATTAATTGTGTAATTCAATTTTATTTTGGACTTTTTCTGCGTTAGGATAAAAGAAAACTAAACAGATTTCCTAGCAAAAAGAAACACAATTTATAAACGAAGCTTAAATAAAATTAACGTCAGCCGTGGTTGAGTTATTTTCTGATATAAATTATGGCAAATCATTCTGCAATAATCCATCGTTATTAAGCCAACGTCTTTAGCCTTCATCCAGGGGAGAACCTAGGACAAACACTTGCAAAGACTTACAATTTACACTTTCAGCGTATCTTATGTTAGTGTGTTGACTTAGATTAATTATATATTCTCTATTAATTAGTTAGTGCGCCTTCGCTTATAGTTCTTAGTGCTAATCATAAATATCAATTATTGTAAATAGTTATAAAATTAGTCCAAAAATTAATTGTTACCATAACTCAAGAAATGCTATGCTCTTCACTAATTGTCAATGATAATTATCTTTTACAAATATATCAAAGTTTCAATTTATTACTTAACTATGTGGCAATGAACATGACGAACAAAAGTTTCCTTTGGAAAACCGAAGTTTAAAGGCCTTTTCGTTGAACTTGGTCTGATCCTTATAATGGAAACTATAGGTTGTTTGCAACTTTGACAAGATTGGCAGCTATAAAATATAGCTATCCGATATTTCTCAAACATTTCTAGCGTTTATTTTTGCGAGTAAACTGCATAACAACAAGCGGACCCACTGTTTAATAATTTATAAGCTTAATAGGCTTATCCTAGGGTATAAACAAATATTTTTTTTAAATCAGTTTTTTAAAAAAAGTTATCTAAACAAGAAAACAACCGTGAACCCCGCTTTTTACTGTTTAGGAAACTTTTTCAAGCTTATATTTGTTGTTTTTTTAAATAAATTTTTGTTATTATTTAGAAATTGAGTCTCTATTTAAAATTGCATTCAAAGTATCAGCTATGTTACAAAAAATGTAATTCAATATTAAGCAAAGACATAGTGAAGAGCATTTTTCTGAGATTTATTTTGGACTCTGGCAATATAACCTAGTTATAGTAAGATAAGTTAGTACCCTGTATTTAGTTGTATAAATACAAACATCAATGTGATATTTGAAATTTAAATATTAACGTGCGGGGCTTTTGATTTTCACGAACACTGTCTTCCGGTTGGGATTCTGGATCCACCCACAGTTCCCATACATTTACAAATGAGTATATTTAAATCAATTTTCATCTACCATTCGGAGGATCTAAGGCAGCGACTGTTTTCCCTTAGTGTTTACCTGTTGACGTTTGCAGCATTTAATCACTTCTGTTTTGGAGTTCCCTCACTTTGTGTCGGAAGTCGGAACTCATTAATTCCCTGTTGGTAACTGATGTTTTGACCTTTACTTTGGGTTCGTGGGTGTGGCACACTCCCTACATAGCCAAGCCGCTCTCATCTCTTAAGGATAACAAAGATACCCTTTTCTGGCTGAGTTGAAAGTGTGGCGAATGTAAACAAATGTTGGGGAGAAATTGAGTTTGATTAATGGCTTTTTATTTAGAACGTATTTACTTAAATTTATTTTCTGAGACCGCCAACCATATAAAATGTGTAGTTCATATGTATCTAACTTATATTATATTGATTAGTTATTTATAATTTGATATTCGACAAGTATTCTTGATCAGAATCAATAGCCAAAAATATTTGCAGCTTGTGTATTACCATATCTCTCTCACTTTTTTACTTAAGGAACGGGTATTTGATAGTCGAGGCATTCGACTTTATCCATTTTTTGTATTTGATAGTCGAGGCATTCGACTTTATCCATTTCGTATTTGATAGTCGAGGCATTCGACTTTATCCATTTATGTATATAATTTAAAAGATTATTTTAACATACATATGTGCACATTTACTGCACTAAAATACTTCTCTTAGTTATCTGGCAATCCTTGAAATTAATAGATAAATTATTATTTCTGAAATATTTTGAAGGACCAAAACTATTTTATTTCATTATGTATACAATTTCCCCCGATTTACCTTCCATAGGATTCCAATTGAAAAATTTAAATATTATGTTCTTTTATTTTTATTAGACAATTATTGCATACAATTATTTACAACTACGATAATAAACTAAAATCTAACAGCCTTTATAAGTTTTCCACTAGGTCGAAAGTGTTGCTGCAACACAGTCCGCAAAGGGACTTCCGCTTGAGGGAAGGATGAAGGATCGTCCGACTGTCTAGTAGTCTCTGGAGAGCAACGTGACCAAATCTCCGATGTATGCCTGCGCCATTTGCAGAGTTTCGTATTTAGACAGTCGTCGATCGTGGCCCAGAGAAGGAACCACATCACGCAGCTTGTCGAAGGCATCGTTCAGGCTGTTCATGCGCCTCCGTTCGCGGGCATTGGCCGCCAGTCGCCGCTTCTTCAGGACTTCGCCGCCGAATCCCGTGGAGGATCCGCTAGTCGATGAGGCGGAGGATGCGGATGATGACATGGAGGTGGACAGCTTGTCGTACGGTTTGCTCCTTTGCTGTTTGTTCCAGTACTTTGAGCTCCTGCCCTGGATCTTGCCCAAAGGATTCGATTGGTGCTGCTGCTGCTGTTGCTCCTGGGCACTCAGCATGTGCTCCAATTCCAGGACAGCCGGAGTATCGTAGTACATCTCCAGAGAGCAACTGTTAGTTCCATCTGACTGACTATCGCTGGTGCTGAACTCCTGCTGGTACATCAGCTGCTCCAACTGCTGGAAGGTATCGTTGCCCAGGAACTCGGGAATCGCTGGGGACTCGTCGGGGAAGTAGAACTGCTCCATTATCTCGTTGTTGGTCAACATGTTTACTTTTGCAGGCTCAAGGGACAACTGAAGTGGAGTGATGATGATCGGTCTTTATATAGCTGCCTGCTGAAACCCAGACTCTGACGTGATTGGTTCAGTTTGTGTGCCCTGCTACCTGATTCGCTGTCTCGAACTGATCTGATCCTCTCAGGTACCCAAATACCTACCTCTTGAGGATCAAGAACACAGCCCGTGCCCTAAATTGGCTTGCGGTCAAAACGTTTAATTGTCCCTTGCCTGCAGCTCTCTCCCTCTTTCGCCCAGGTATTCACTGTACAAGCTACAGGTCGACTCCCTTTGTTTGACCTGTCATTTGGCTACCGTCTGTAATCATACCTCTTTTGTTATATGCGCTGAAATTGACTTTTTATAGTCAAACAATTGTTGCCAAGGTCAGAATGCGAACAAACAACGGCGTCTGGTCATGTGGGAATCGTTTCCACAATTTTTGCGTCCATCGAGGATCCCTCACGGATCATCTTCCTTGCATGTCTGTGGTCTAGTAAGTGTTGGCTTGGTTGGGGCTTCCAGCTCTCGGACAGAACAAAGAAGAAACAATTTGTTTTGTGTGGTTTGCAACTTTCGATTTTAGTCAATTGTACCTCTACTTTATTGGGTCAAATTTAAATAGGCGTTTAAAGTGGCTTTCTCTGAACTCCCAGACATGCTTTTTACGGAGGGAGTTGTGGCTTACAAACCGAGAATTAGTTAAAGGTTCACAAATATTGTAAGATTATCAAGGAAAATTGTTGAAAGTAAAATGTAGGTTCTATATATACATTTACTTTATAAACTAAAATATCAATTGACTTTAAACAAACAGACTAACCCTGCTTTTTCGTAAAAAAAAAATAAACTTGGTAAAAAATTGTCCCAAACCACACACATTTTTAATTCTACCAATTAAATAGGTGTGTGTCTTTTTGTTTTTGTATTTGTATTTGTTGTTGTGAAAGTAACTATTTGATTAGTAGAATTGACAATGTTGTGGTTAGGGACTGTTTGACAATTATATTGGTTAATTTTACCAAGTTTTTTTTTATGTGTAGTCAAAGTAAACTCTACATTTCATATTTAACATGCGCACGAAAAATCAACCCTAAGTAGATACAAAGAAATCCTTATACATAACTATTAATTAAGTTTCAAATTTTCAACATTTTAAAACAATCTAGATTCACATTAAAAAAAAATAATTTTCTTTAAAATTCTGAAACAGTCTGTTACTCCCCCGCCCTTGAACATCCATTTGAAAGATCTGCTTTCCTCATCGTAATCATTTTAAGATCCTGCCCTGCTCAAGCCCACTTTCAAGTAGCCGCATCGAAAGGTTAATTAACTCCACAGACTCGCAGCATTAGAAGGAAAATCAATTCGAATAGTTCGCTGAATTTCTAAAGAAACAGAAACAGAATTTTTAAAACAATTGAAAAACACTGCCCGTGAAGCGCCGAGCATGGATAAAGAGTACAAATGATGCCACTGCAAGATGGCCCAGATATTTCACACAAATTGTCAAGAAACAAAGTGCCGAGCCGACAAAGGAACGTGACGTTTGATCTTGACGGTGATGATGATCGCTGATGGATCGATCGATCGACTTTGTTAAGAGTGCCACGCGACCGCAGCTTAGTGGAAATCCTGGCCCAGATCAGGCATTATGCTGCAATATTTTCGGGAGAAAGGCTCGCGGATAACCTAAAGATCGGCAACGCCTTCAAGAAAAGGATCTGGGATTTCCAATTAGCATTTTTCTGCGCTACCTGGGATTTCGAGCCGTTCTTTTTCCTTGGGCCTGTCAAAATAGCAACAATAGGTAGTTGGTTTGTGGGCGGTTCTGGTTGAAAGTAGGCCCCTCTCTCTATACCCGTTTCTTTTCATCTGACCAACAATAGGTCAACTGATGATAATCCTCGGCTGCGTCAGGCGGTTGCATGTTCCTGGGTTTTCCCTGCCAGATTAATCGTTTTCGTTTTGCGGATTAGTGGTTGGCGCTAAATTGCGAAAATGCGATTAGAAGTCAGAGTCCTGGACTCTCCAGGAATTCCATGGGAATCACTTCTTGCTCTACACTTGTCGATCCCACTCTTTGGTATACAATGCCGAACAATGGATCGATATATGCTGGTTTTTGTTCCCATTGTTGGTCAGAAATGAATTCGACTTTAGTCCCATTGTGCCGAGCATAATTACCATGTAATAATCTGGAATTATGAATTATTATATGCAACGATTTGTTTGTTTCCAAGTAAATTTGTTGTGGTCTTCGAATTTTTGAGAAAACACAGGTGCCCAAAAATATCCAGACAGCATGTCTGCCAAGGACTTAGAAAGAGGTTTAATTGCGTGAAAATTGTAAGTTTAAATGTAGTAGAAAAATTGTTGTGGAAAATTTACATCATTCTTTCTTTTACGTACATTTAAAATGTAAGGCAATCTTCAAAATATAGGAATTTTCCGAATTTCAAAGTGGGATTTTCTGGTTATATCAAAATTATTTGCGTTAAAAGTATAATTATTTTCAGGCCCAAGAAAGCAAAGTTTAAGACCGGCTAAATAAAATGGTTCACAACAGGAAAATTGGTAACATTTATAAATATTTAAATGTTTTTCTTAGTAAAATTGGTTACATTTATAACCATTTAAATGTTTTTCTTAGATCCCTTGGGGCATGCGACAAATTCCACAAAACTCATTCCATAACTTAGACACACTTCAGGGTCTTTAAGGATACTTCTCCTACCCTGACTAACCCTTATTATCGACAAAATGTCCGTTAGGCTGCCAAGGATAGCGCCCTGAAAAAGTGTCAGGCAATTGCCAGAGTTTATGGGAATTTATTGACACTTGAGCGGTGATCAGGATAAAAACAGTAACAGAAACAGAGAGTGATCCTCGCAAGGACATGGGCAGGTAATCAGGGCCAAGTTGAAGTGCGACGCCGACCCTCCTTGATGGGTATCATAAATTGTCATCACATAAATAGTGCAACAACAGGATCAACTGCATCCCGGGTGACATTTATGACTCTATTGGCCGTCTGCCGTTGCTCCTGATTTTCACGATGCTCCTGCTGGTCAATCAGTGTCCTCTTTTACACGTGACCCGCTCTGATATCTTAATAAGCAGTTAATGGTAGCGGTAAACGATTCACAAACAAAGTTAAAGGCAGATAACCGAACCGAAAGCGGAAAGTGTTAATGGATGCTTTGATAAGGAAACAATGGAGCGGATATCGTTTGATATACTGGCAAATATTTCCGTTTGCCTCTTTGATGAGATAAAAATAATTGTTACTTTGTTATATCTAAAATTAAAGACCCACAATTACATAAATACATATCGCTAAGTCTTTATTTAAATTATTGGAAAGAACCGATTACAATGAATGCTGTGATTTATAATTATATTATACGGTTAGTCACAGTTCAATAAGTTTACACATAAATAAAATATTTGTCTAAAACATTCCATCAATGCCCACCCAAACTGTGAGGGTCTTATTACTTACAAACTAGGTGCAATATGAAATCATCAATTTTACAACCACAATCAACTGCGGTTATCTAATACTTTTTGCCTGGCTGTATGTTTAATCGTGAATTAGTAGAAGATAATTATATTCAATCACAAAGAGGTTAATATCGGTGTGAGTTCGGTTGGGGATGAGTTTCAAATATGATATTATTCATCGGTTGCGAAATGGTCCGCTTGGTTTTTGTAAATGTATGCATAAGTTTTCTGATATGACATTTTTGATTCAGATTTCTACGACATTAATTGTTTTGCGGGTCTGTGCGAATAAATATTAAAATAGCTACAACATGAAATTAATGTACTAGAGATATAATTTTCTAATAGGGTGAGACGATATGCATGATATAATCTTTAAAACTGTACCGAAAAAGTATCAGATAAAAAATATTTAAAGCGATCTTAGAGTCTGCAAGATTACGATTACAAATTCTTTAAAATATAAATAAAATCAGGTATATATAGGAATATGTTTGAATTTATATCAGCATACAAAATATGGTAATCTCATATTTTTCACTTTCGAATCGTCTCACCCTAATGGATTATATTTCTCGATGCCTAAAGCTGCGACACCGCACTAAAACACAAACAATGATCAAAGACCCCCTCGCAATTGGTTTAATCCGGTTACACTCCGGATTTTATCACTCATGAAAATGCAAATATCTCGCTGTCCAAGTCTAGAGCGTCGTGGATGTCACCGTACTGACACCATGGACGAGAATTGTGGGCGGCAACTCGGCGGTCAGTTCGGTTAGTAGTTCCATGTAGCTGGCGCTGCGTTGCGCGAAATCTGGAGTCGAGAGCTTCGGCGGAGCGGCCAGATAGATGAACGATAATGCCGTCTGATCCGAGCGTTCGCGTATGATTTGATTGGCTCGCTGCATGTAGAGCAGCGAGCGATTCAGAGTCTCCTCGCCCACCTCGTCATCATCCTCCAGCAATACATTATCCGCCTGAGCGGTAAACTGCTTAAGAGTGGCAGCATGTCGACTGAAATCGGTGTCCCGACTCCATTCCTGGATCTCCACAATGTCGGCTGTGATGCGCAGCTCCTTGAGGGATTGCTCCAGCTTCATCTTGGAGAAGATCTCCATCTGAGGGGCCTGAGTGTCAAAAGTGCTGGGGGGATAATTTATTTATAATTTATAATATAATAATATAATAATTTATTAAATGTATACATAATGTTATATAATTTCAACTTACCCCACTGTTCGCTCATCGTTGGCCTCGCACAGGAAAATTCTTACTCGCAGATGCTTCCATTTGGCCAGCATTATCACCGCCAATTGCATCATGAACAAGGACACCATGTCGAAGGGATCTCCAGATGTTGGATTAAACATATTGATGGGCCACACATCTATGTATTTTACATGCTTGCTTCTGCATTTTAAAATGTAAATTAAAATGAGCCCATAAGATTTAAATAAAATCTTCCACTCACATGGATATAA